GAAGAGAAAACAGAGGCTCCTGGAGGCTCAGGAACTTGCCTAACAGACTTTCAATTCTCTGCGCAAATGAAGGCAACAAGCATGGATTGGAAAATCCCCACGGGCGGAAAACAGATTAGGAGCAAACTACTGATTTCCTTGTGTATCATGTGCTGGTCCTGGGAACTCACAGGCCAGGCCTGAGCAAGAGTTCTGGTGGGGCGACTGCTGCGGTGGTAAGCCAGCCTCGTGCGGAGAAGTGAGGGAAAGAGAAACCAAGAGGTGGGGAGGCACAGCCATCACAGGGAAGGTGGCCCGCCCTGCACCGCCTTCGCCCCACTCCTCCATGCCAAGACACAGGGAGACAGGAATGAGGCCCAGGGCCTGGCATCCTAGGAGGAGGTGCACTGTCTCTGTGGCAGAGGTCACCGCTCCCCTGGAAGTCCCTGGGCAGCAGGCACAGGGCCATGGGCTCAGAACTCTGACACAGGAAACCGAAGACGCATCCCAGGCCCCCTAACCAGCCCCACAGGACCTAGAGCAAGTCACCGCACCACTACTCCTAGTAGCCCTGGTTTCCCCATCTAAGATATGGAGATGCTGAGGTCTCCCTCCTGGGACCATTTGGAAGTTCTGAACAGAATGGAATTGGGACTGGGATGCTGTCTGTGGCAAACTGTGAAGCGCCGGGCACAGCTTACCCACCCCTGGGTCACCTGCCTGGGAGCCTCTCAAGGCCAGCCCTCCTTTCTGAGGCACAGCATCCCAAGGCCATTGATGGATCCCTTGGGACAGGCTGGGGAAGGAGGAGGGGGAAAGGCTTATCTCACCCACCCCATTGTCTTCACTGACCTTTGCTCCCCAGCCTAGCTGGGTTTAGGAAAAGCAGCCTTATTAGCCGAGCTGCCGCACAGAAAAGAACTATTCAGTTAGCGTGCTCTTTTTTTTAAAGGCCTAGACCACCCTGTTCCATCCTCCCACTTAAACCAACAAAAACACAAGCAGGAGAACAAACCTGTCTCATTTTGAGAAGCTCACAATTTTAATCCAAACTTTAAAAGGTCAATGGGGCTCATCCACAGGCTTGCTAGAATCCTGGTTCCTCTGGGTTGGCTAAAGGGGAGTGGACCGTGGAGGAGGAGGTTATCAGGGGAGGGGAGGAAATGCCTGGGAATGGGCAGGAGGGGGGCGTGGTGCCTGTGGTGGGGCAGAGGAGATAGGCGGAGGGACAGGTAGGAAAAGAACTGAAAATTCTTGTGTTTGAAAATTCTATCAGTTCATGAAGGAGAACCTGACTTTCTGGTGTTGGGGTTTACCTGCCTCAGTGTGCCACACTGGACTACAGCAAAGCGCACCCCAGTCCCAAGTCCAGTCAGCCCAGACCAGACGTCTACCAAAGGCAGCCAAGGCCAGGTGCAGTGGCTCATGTTTGTAATCCCAACACTCTGGGAGGCCAAGGCAGGTGAACTGCTTGAGCCCAGGTGTTCAAGACCGGCCTGGGCAACATAGTGAGTTCCCGTCTCTACAAAAATTCAACAATTATCTGGGCATGGTAGCACATGCCTGTCATCCCGGCAGCTTCAAGAGGCCAAGGCAAGAGCATTACTTGAGCCCAGGAGGTTGGGGTTGCAGCGAGCCATGGTAGTGCCATTGCACTGTAGCCTGGGTGACCAGTGAGACCCTGTCTCAAAATAAATAAATGCATAAATACATAAATAAACAAACAAATAAAGCAGCCAAGGAGAAAAGCCTATTTGCATGTACATACACAATACACAGGCCCGCCAGGCCAGCCTCAGCCAGGGCTGCCTTGCATACAGATGGGCTACCTCCCACCTCAACCACTAGAGTCCTCCTAGGGTACCCAGCAGGGCTGCAACTGCCACCAGCTCCCCAGAAAGGAGAGCAGGGTCACTGTCCTCACTAGCTCATCAGCAAGCGTGGCCACACAAGAGGCTCAGACACAAACATTCAGGTGAGCTGTCTAAGCAGCAAGCACTTTTGAAGAGGAAAATGAGGTGTGCTGGGAGAGCCCCAAGGACTCTAACAACAGGAGAAACCTACTGTGTGTAGATCCTGACCTCATTCAACCTTGTGTGGATAATGGGGTACTCTGGGTTCTGTCCACCTTACAGAAGAGGACCACAGAGAGGCTTGGCCAGTTAATAACTTGCCCAATATACATGGAGGAGCTGAGATTCAAACTCAAGACACCCTGAGCCTCTGGGTAATGGGGTTATCAGCCATCTGCTCAGTGGTCACTGATAAGGAAGTGACACTTCCCAGCACGGGACAAAGAGGGCAAACCTGGGTCAGGAATCAAGAATAGGGAGTCACCAGTGTCCCCTCATTAATAGTAACAGCAAACATGACAACAGGCCAAGGGCACAACAGATTCAGACCCACGGCCTGAACAGGAGATGATCATGGCAGCAAACCCACCCGGGACAGGTACTTCCAATGTCAGCCACCTTCCCAGACAAGGCTAGGAACCCCTCTAAGCCTCCACTTGCTTGTCTGTAAAATGGGGATAATACTGCTTCCCCAAGGTTCCTTTGAGGAGAAGCAAAGACCAAGCACATGAGGCGCAAGCCTGGTGTCTGACCCCACTTTTGACACCACCCAGAGAGAATTCATCATCTCCCTCAGCTCAGGCCCAATCTTTGTTCAATTTAAAGCTACAAGTCCCAGAACAGAAAAACCCAGTTTCACCAGGAGAGGTGGCTCACACCTCTAATCACAGCTACTTGGGAGGCTGAGCTGGGAGGATCACTTAAGCCTGGGAGGTTGAGGCTGTAGTGAGCCATGAGTGTTCCACTGCACTCCAGCCTGGGTGACAGAGTGACACCCTGTCTTGAAAAAAGGGTTGGGGGGGGGGGAAGAAAGAAAGAAAAACTCAGTTTCTAAGAGAAGGGCCTTTCCTGGTTTCCAAGCATTCCGTTTATATTAGTGGGACAACACCCCAAGGCCACATGTGTCTTTAAGAGACAAAACTTAATAATAATAATTTCAACTGTAACTGAAATTTGTAATAATAATGCTGAATTTTCATTTCACCCCAGAGCAAAGGTTTGCTGCCACAACATTTGCAGCAGTCCTGTGCTAAGTGGACTTGGGGGAGGATGGGTTCTGTGGGAAACCCTATACTTCAACCCCCCACTGGTCCCCAGTGGGGTGGAAAACTCGGTCTAGCCTAGTCCTCCACTCCTGTATTATTCACTCTCGCAGCTGACACGCTGAGCCAGACTGGGGCCGCATCTCTTTGCCCAAAACATGACAGAGACTTTCCTGCAAGTATGCTCTAAACACTCCAGCCCTCCAGTGTCCTGCAGAGAGGCACTCTCGCCAAGTGTCATTGATGACGCAGCTGAAAACCAGAAACATTTCATTTTCCAGCCACGAGACTGCAGCAGTCTGCTCCTTTGTACTGCCCTTGGGGAAACCGAGGCCCAGATAACTGACCCTTCAAAAGCCCCCCAGGACCGCGAAGTCAAAGGGGTTGAGGTACTCTAAACAGCCCCAAAATGAATTAAATCACCTAACTTTGCACTACTCTCACTGCCCTCAAGCAGCCTGTGGTGGGAGGTGGGGGGTGGATACAGTGTTACAAAGAGAAACCTGAGTTGTAGCCATAGATTGCTAATCAGTAACAAAATATCCCTCTAAACCCAGTCAGTCCTACCTTGAACCCACAGGCTCAGGATGGTAAATAAAGGAAAAATATGCTGCACTGCCCCCGCCCCACCTCCATGGATATGTCTCCCACCCCAGCCCCCACCCCATCACGCCTGCAGAGGCCACTTGGCCACCAAACCAAGGAGAAAATGTCCCTCCCCACCTCAGGCTGAGGGGTCCTGGGGAGGGCAGTGATTTCAGGCCTAGACACACTTTCTCTGAATTAGGAAAGGCTTTAAAGGCAACCAGAAAGGGCTGTTCATTCTCCACCTTCAGGCAAAAAGTTCAGGCAGTTGTAACTACCAGCAGAACTGGAAGCCAAGCAACCAAAAAACGTGTAAGAACAGGGAGGCCCTGGATCCACCGGCAGGGACGAGAAAGCCGGCAGGGAGCAGAAGGGCTGAGCAGGAGGCTGGGAGAGGGAGCAGCCTGCAGGCTCCCACAGCCCCAAGCTGGGGCCACCCTCTGCACTGGGCGCAGCAGTAATATGGGCGTGGAAGACAGGCGCTGACAGAGGCCAAAGGTCCACCCACCCACACCCTGGTCACGGATGACCATGGCACTTCCTATAAGGCGACCAACAGTTTATAAATCCCTTCAGACAGTTTATCTCCACCTCAAATCCACGAGGCAGAGGTCATCATCTCCATTTTACAGACAAAGAAACGGAGATAGACAGAGGAGAAAAACTACAATCCGTTCCAAAGACATCTCCCTCGGGAAAGTCTTAGAGTCTCGGCTGAGAAAGGTCCCGGGACTAGAAGGGCGGAATTTATGGCAAACCAGAAAGGCTCTGAGCCCCAGGCCTCTTCCCAGCTGCCCCTGGGTGTCAAGCAGCTGCCTGTGCACCCTTCCAATCCCCGCACCCTACTGCAGAACTCCAGCCACTGCACACACGTGGACACTGCTTGGCTTGGAGGACACCTGTTGCTGCAAGAGGGGAAATTCACCTGCGCTCAAAGAGGCCTTGTATTCTTTTCTGTTCAGAACTTCCCGCTACTAGGCAAGGATTTCCAAGGCTGGGATGAGGCGCCCACCGCCAGCCCAGCAGTGACAGACGCCAATTTTGGCAACTACACCCACTAGAAACTTTCCTGCGACCGGACCGGCAGCAGGTTCTGAGCTGAACAGAAAGACGCTCCACGACTGGACCGGCCCACAACCGCCCAAAGCCCTACTTCGGGTGAGTGCGGGATCCCCTGGTCCAGGATCCATGACAGCTGGAGGAGGAGTCTGGAGTGGCGGCCGCACGAGTGGGACCGCCAGGGACCACCTCCTCTCGCCGCAGCCTGGGTAAGGGGCTGCAGCCAGGGAGACCCGCGCTGCCCGGCCCGTGTAGTCCTTACCGTGCAGACCGTTGGGGATGCTGCGGTGGTGCGGCGGCGCCGACAGGTCGTCCAGGGACCGACGTGTTGCTCCTGCCTTGCCTTCGGGGGCCTTGTGCGGCCCAGGGGGCAGCAGCGGGGGTGGGACATGGTGGTGGTGGTCCGGGCTGCCGCCGCTGCCCGCGCTGGACGTACTGCTGCCGTCGCCCACGTCGCGGGCCCCCGCGCCGGGCGCGCCACCCGCCAGCGGCCCGCTCAGGCTGGCCTGGCTGTCGATGGAGCTGCGGGAGCCGGCGCCGCCCCCGCCGCCGCCGCCGCCGCCGCCGCCTGAGCCCCCCGTCGCCGCCAGTGCCGCGCGCTCCTCGTCCAGCAGCAGCACCAGCTCCTTGAGCTCCAGGTTCTCGCGCAGCAGGGCCTCCTGGCGCGCCTCGAGCTCGCGCAGTTTCTGCTGCGAGCGGGCCACCTCGTGCCACACGGCGCCGGCCGCGTGGCGCCCGAAGCGCTGCCACTCGCGCGCCAGCTTGCGCCCCTTCTGCCGGTCGTCGTCGAGGAAGCAGCAGAGCTCGCGCAGCTCCTGGTTGTCGTCCTGCAGTCGCTGGTTCACGTCCTTGAGGCCGCGGATCTCCAGCAGGTGCTGCTGCAGCCGCCGGTTCACGTCGCGCATCAGGCCGCCGTGCTCCAGCATGAGGCCCACCTTCTCGCCCTCCGCGCGCCGCAGCCGCCGCGCCAGCTCCTCCTTGCTCCAGCGGAGCAGCTCCTCGTCCGGCACCTGGCTCAGCTCCTCCGACGCCGCCGCCGCCGTCGCTGCGGGCTTCGCCATGGCGGGGCCGTCACCGCGGCATCGCCCTCGCCCGGCCGGCGCTTCCCCGCGCCGGGGCTCCGCTGGGCCGGTCCGCGCGCGGGCGGGGGGCGGCCGGGGGCGCGTGCGGCCCGCCCTGCAGCCTTGCGCGCCCTCTCGCCGCGCCCGCCGGGGCTGCCCGGGAGCCCGCGCGCCTCGGGGCTGACGAGCGGAGGCGGCTGCTGCGTCGGCGGCCGCGGAGCCGGGCGCTCTCAGGGCTCTGGCGAGGCAGGCGGAGGCCCGCCCCCGGCCCAGCTCCGGGAGCCCCCGCCGCCCCGCCCACCTCGGGCGGAGAGTGGGCGGGGCTCCGAGGCCCGGCCCCGCCCCCGAGGGCGACGGGGGAGCAGAGGCGCGGCCCCCGCCGTCCCCCTGCGCGGTGCGCCCGCCCGGCCGGTGCCCTCTCAGAGGCGCGTTCCGGCCGCGGTCCCGCCCTCCCGGCCGTGCGATTGGGCCGCTCCGGGGGTGTGCGGGAGGGGCGGGGCACGCGTGGGGGGAGCCGCGGGGGTGGTACGGTCCATCCGCGGGGTTTCCGACCCCCGCCCGCAGCCGGCTCCCGGCGGTTCAAGTTTCTGCGCCCAGAGGACGCGGCCTTGGCCAATCCCAGGGCTACAGGGCGCTTTTAAAATGCAGGTACGACTGCGGGGAGGGGGACGGTGGGAAAGGTAGGGCCGGGCTTCCCTTAAAGGCGACGCGCAGAAATAGCAGTCGAGCCCCCTCCCCGGCCCGCGTCCCCCGCCCTCCTCCCTCTCCCCAGATAAACAAATACCCACGATCTGGGCGACGGCGCCCCTTCTCCCTCCCGGGGGCACCAGAGTTCAGGGCAGTCGGAGACTCAGCGAACAATAGGACTGTGACATGGGGGTCGCTCTTCCCCACGGCAGGGCGGCTCTTTGTCCCCTTCCCTGCCCCCAGGCTCCTCCGCCCCCGTCCCCACCCGGGTCTCCTGCCGGAGCGCGCAGCAGGGCTGCGTCTCCACTCCTAGCCCGGGGCTGAGCTAAGCGCTGGCGTCCGCGCCCCGGCAGGGCCAGGGCCTTGCCAGCCGCGTCCCGCAGCGTGGTCGGTACTCTCTGCCCCGATGGGGCGAGAGCGCCGGGAACCTGCCCCCAGCCCGGAGTGGCGCTCGGAGCCACGCTCCCCCTCCGCCCACTCGACCGCTAAGTCCCTGGGATTCGGGAGATAATCTGCAATTCGCGGGGTGGAAACCACTGGGAAGGTGGGAAGGTCTCCCACAGGGTCCTGAACGCCGGGGTCCGGGGGCGCCGAGCCGGCCACAGAACTGCCCACCGGCGGCCCTCGCGGGACCCCCGTCCTTCCCACTGCCTGTAAGTCTGTCTCGTTATCCTCCGGTCTCCAAAGCGCATTTACGGCGCGTCTACCGCCGGCAGGCGGGGTGGAGGGGTGTCCCTCCCCCGGAACCTGCAACGAGATCAAACCCGCGCACGCGACAGTGAGCGGCCCACTGCCAGGAGCGCGCGCCCGCGCAGCAGCTGATGCCCCGTTTACAGTTGCTACGCCATTCATTCAGCTGTGTACTCAGCGCCTACTCGCCGCGGGGCCTGCTCCAGCCCCGGGGAATTCTGCAGGGCACCGGACTGCCCTCTGCGAGGGACTTGGCGTCCTGGGAGCAGGATGGGGAGAAGACACACGAGCTAGATCACAATAAAACTTGTCTTAAGTGCTATGCGGGGCATTAAGTCGAGCTGCTGTCATAGAAAGCATAATCAGTTACTTTAGATCTAGCGGTCAGGGAGGTCGCGAGGCACATCTAAGCTGAAGTCTGATTGACAAGGTACAAAGATAAGGGGAAGGGCATTCCAGGCAGCTGGAACAGCCAGTGCCAAGGCCCTAGGGCTGGCCTGTTAGGGGCCTGTTCCAAGGCCAGTGGGGCTGGGGGTTGGCCAGGGAAGAGGCGTGAGAGCTGAGGTCAGAGGTCAGAGATTAGAGGGGCCAGATCATGTATGATTCCAAGGCAGCTGGGGAGGCAGTGGGGGTTTTAGCAGGGAAGCAACATGACCTCGTTTACCTTTTTAAGAGGCTCACCCTGACCCACATGTGGAGAAGAGATGGAGGGGAGTACACAGAGCGGTCCAGATTCAATATCTCGTCTGCCACCCGTTCACCAGTCTCTCCAGACAGATGGTCAGGAGAGGGTGGTGGGGAGAGGATGGGCTGAGCACAGTTTCCAAGGTTAAACACAGGGATGCTGAGGGTCTCCCAGGATCTGCCCAAGTGAGCCAGCTCCTGGGGGGAGGGGATATCCTTCCCTCCGAGGCACTGCTCTGCTGGCCCAGCACAGCTCAGTTTGAGTTTAGAGAGGGAGGGGCTTTCAGCTTCTGCCTGGGGGAGCTGCAGGTCTGTCTGAACCCCCAGGAAGCCAGATTAACTTCAAGGAGCTCCTTGCAGGCTCCCTGCAGAATGAAGCCCGTGCAGAGTTGCTCCTGGGAGATTGAAGTGTAAACGTTGGATACACCATAGGAAAAACCCACCAGCTCACCAGGGAAGTTGCTGAGATAGCACTGTGCTTTGTGAGAACCCCCTCCCCATTCGGGCGCGGCTCCAGGTGGTTCCTCGGGCCTGTTATCTCTGCCCCCTGATCCTCCAGAGCTAGCAGCTTCCGCTGAACTTCCAAGAAAAAAGAGAAGCCTCTATCTAGATGGGGTTTATTTGCGTCTTCTACAGGCTGTGTGGACCAAGGACCAAGAGTTCCTCTGTGGAGTCTTGATAGCTTTGCTCACGTCCTCCGGGTAGAACACAGACAAAGTGCTAGCGGTGGTGGTACTGGGTGGCTTGAGGGAAGATCTCTCTGCTCCCCACGTAAGGGCTGGGAATGCTTGGGCAAAACAGGATAGGACCAGAGGAGGTGAGAGGGCCCAGGGCTGAAACAGGGTCCTGAAGGAAAAGGGACTTCCAGGGCACAGCCACCTCCCGGAGGGCCCATATAATAGGGTCCAGGAGTAGGTGCCATGCCCCTGGAGTACTCACAGCCCAACAGAACCAGGATCCCAAAATGTCACGTGAACGTGACTTTGCTTTTTTTTTTTTTTTGTCTGAGACAGGGTCTCACTCTGTCTCCCAAGCTGGAGTGCACTGGCACTATCTTGGCTCAGTGCAACCTCAACCTCCAGGCTCAAGAGATCCTCCCACCTCAGCCTCCTAAGTAGCTGGGACCATAGGCACTACCATGCCTGGTTATTTTCTTTTTTCTTCTTTTTTTTTTTTTTTTTTTCCATAGAGACAGGGTCTCACTCTGTTTGCCAGGCTGGTCTCAAACTCCTGCGCTCAAGCAATCCAATCCTTCTGCCTCAATAACTTTGCTTCTTAAGCCCCTTGGTCATGACAGTTCTGCTTTGTTACAAAAACAGTAAAACTGGCCGGGCGCGGTGGTTCACTCCTGTAATCCCAGCACTTTGGGAGGCTGAAGCGGGCAGATCACGAGGTCAGGAGATCAAGACCATCCTGGCTAACACGGTGAAACCCCGTCTCTACTAAAAATACAAAAAAATTAGCCGGGTGTGGTGGCAGGAACCTGTAGTCCCAGCTACTCGGGAGGCTGAGGCAGGAGAATGGCGTGAACCCGGGAGGCAGAGCTTGCAGGGAGCCGAGATCGCGCTACTGTGCTCCAGCCTCGCCACAGAGCGAAACTCCATCTCAAAAAAAAAAAAAAGAAAAGAAAAGAAAAGAAAACAGTAAAACCAAATCATGGTGCACTAACACAATCACACTCTAGGTGCCCAGGAAAAGTAGTTGTGAGTCTTTTAAAGGTGCCCCACCAACATTCTACCCCCGTTTTTTAAAAGACTCTCCCAGGATATGTGTGTTCATTTGTGAGAGCCAGCAGGGGCTGAGAACCGGTACACTAACACGTGATAGACGCTAACACATGGTCGACAAAATACTCCAAAACCTAGGGCCTGTGGGGGGAGTGCTGGTACAAGCTGGTGACAAGCAGAGTGTACCCCTCACTTTCAGGGGGAATGGGCTTTCTTACTCTTTTCCATGGTTGGGGCTCTGAGCTCCAACCCCAGAGGCGGTACCATTTGGTGTTTGCTGAGTGAATGTCAAACCTCTCAGTGCATGACAGACTGAGTCTAAGGCCTTCATTTTGAAGGGGGGGGAAAACAGAGCCCCAGAAGGGAGATGCCTTTCCCAAGGTCACTTTCATTTTTTAGCTCAGTCAACATAGAGGAAATCTATGAGTATATATGCATTTATGCACAAACACATTTAAATGGGCATGTATATACACATTGCAATGCATTGTGGTAAGTACCGCCAACGAGAATGGGCAGAACACATCATTATAGGAGCGTGCTCAGGCACTGGGAATGGCTTCCTAGAGGAGTTGAATCTTGAAGGAGTTTGTCGTCTTGTGGAGTGGGGAGGAGGCTCCAGGTGGAGGAAGCAGCACAAGCAAAGGCCCAAAGGTGAGCAGGCGAGGGGTGTGGAGAGACACTATTACACCTTGCAGCTGGGGTGTACAGGAGGGAACAGCAGGGTGGGGAAAGTCAGGAAGAGGTTGAGCAATGGAGCTGGGCAGAGGAGGGTTTTGTAAGCCTCAGAAGGAAGCTGGGCCCTTTCCCTGGGGCCTCTGATATCTAATAATAGCAATGACAACGATAATAACCAACAGCACCTGCCACTGATCCTGGACTCGGTATATGCCAATGATTCTAACCTGCCATCTTTTGAGGGTTATAATAAACCTATGAGAAGGTGTCATTAGCCCTTCGAGGATTGAACATGGGTTCTTGTTGGCTTGGTTGTTTGCCTCCAAGAAGCTCAGATCATTGGGCGTGAACTTACAGGCAGTGTTCAGAGGCTTGTGGACACCCAAGGACTCTGGTATGGCCAACAGAGTGTGTGGTGGTAGCTGAATCTTTTTCAGGACAGTGAGGCAATGGTGGCTGACCAGGTCTGGGCCAGACTATGAGGTATCATCCTGAAAGGCTGCCAGCAGCAAGTCAGGGTCCACTGAAAAGTGGCTAAGTGTCACTAATATGGACAATGTTGACTGGGTACTTTCTAGGTACCCAGCACTGTGCTAGAGTTAGATTGTCTCACTGACTCCTCACTGATGTGGTAAGAACCCTCTGTTCCCATTTTATAGAGTAAGAAACTGAGGCTCACACAGGTTAAGTCACTTGCCCAGGGTCACGTGACTAGCAAGTGGCTGAATCAGGATTCGAACCCAGGACCATCTGAGCTCTGGAGTGTATCTGACCCCACAGACTACTGTCTCCCACACCTCAGTTTCCCTTCTCAAGGAGGAGGAATGGGGTGGATGCTCTGCGGTGTCTCTTCCACTGTGACTCTGGTTCTGTGATGCTGGGTGTCGGCAAGGTGCCTGGACCCATGTTCACCACCCACTTCCTCCTGCTTCAGACTTTTCCACATTGTGACCAAGGCTCTGTGACTCTGATGCCTCTGAATGGCAACTGTGGTCAGAGCTCTCCAGCTATTTCTACTGATAGATCACTACATGTCATTGTCATTAGCTCAGTCTCCCAGCAACTCCATCACTGGCTGGCTGGGTGACCCTAGACTAGTCCCTTGTCCTCTCAGAGCCCCAGTATTCTCATCCAAGCCCTCCCTGACAGAGCTAGTGTCAAGCACTTGGCAGAGCTGTTGCAAAGCTCTGGGGAGGGGAGCCATGCTTCCTTTCCCATCCTCTGCACCAGGACTGTCTTCCCATTTTCCAGAGGCAAACACTGAGGTCCAGTGAAACAAGGATTGTCCAGGAAACCCCATGTTTGTCCCTGGCAGACTGTGCTACAAAGGATTCTGGGTATGGCCCTGGACTGCCAACTTCTTTCTTTTGGGGTGGGTCCAGCCCAGAATATGGAGATCCTCAAGAACACAGAGTTCAGAGGTCATGTGTCTCAACTCCCACATTTATAGGTGGGAAAACTGCATGAAGCTGGGACTACCAGTTTCCCTACATGCTGGACCCCCAGGGGCAGCAGTGAAAGGTCTAGGGCAGGATGGGCTCCTTCATCCCCACTGTTAACCAGTGTGCCAGGCAACTTTCTGGAGCTCAGGAAGTCCACACTGCACAGGACGGCTGAGGACGGCTGCCTAGAACCGCTGATATCACAGGGCAAGGGTGAAGCTGAAGCCCAAAGGGCCTCATGTGTTGGCAAAAAGCCTCAAGTATCATCTGATGGCAGTGGGGAGCCACAGAAAGGCTTAGAGCAGAGGAGAGATCTGGCCAGACTTGCATGTGATTAGAAAGCACTCAACAAGAGGTTTGAGGGGAGATCCACTGAGACTAGCAGACAGTTAGAGAGGGCTTTAAGGCCAGGCAGGCCAGAGCCAGAGCCAAGTGGGAATGGAAGTAAAGAGATCGATGGGGGCTCTCAGCATCTGAACCCCTCCCTTTCCATGACTTCCCAACCAGAGCCATGGAAATTCTCCCCCTGCCCCTTTAGCTGCTGACATCTCCTCACACCATCGCCTGATGGAGCAAGACAAGAGGGAGGCTCAACATACTGGGGCTGGGGATAACAGAGCTGGCTATCGCCTCAATGCACTTAACATTATTCTTATGATGAACTGGTTCATATTAACAGAGAACACTGAGAAGCATATGCCTGGGAGCCCACCACCCAGACTAAATTCTCACTACTTCTGCTTCTGATGCTCCTGCAGCCCCTCCTGGTCACAGGTCCCAGCCTTCCCCGA